AGTAACTACACTTCCAGTAGCACCATTATGGTCAATTCTTTTCTTTTTTATGCTTATTTTGCTTGGTCTTGATTCTGTGGTAAACAAACTATTTTAATATATATTAAATAAAATATATATTTTTTTTTCAGTTTGCAAGTATTGAAACAGTTGTTGTAACAATAACAGATCAAATACAGATATTACGCCGATATAATGCATTAGTAACATTTATAGTTTGTACAGTAATGTTTGGACTTGGTTTACTTTTATGTACTAATGTTAGAAGAAAATATTCTATTATTTACATTTATTATTATTTTATTTTTATATTTAATTAGGCTGGATTTTATTGGTTAACATTATTAGATAATTTTACTGGTTCTTATGCAGCATATATTATTGGTTTATTAGAATGTATTTGTATTGCTTATGTTTATGGTTTGTATTTTTTCTTTTTGTTAAGTGTAATATATAGGCTTATGCATAACCTTTTACTACGAAAGAGGGATTAGCACTACGATTTCAAATAGAATCCATAATAAATTCTATATCAAATTAAAGCGCATCGAACATGAAATTTATTAATATTAAATAGTAAGAATTATAAAAACTTTTTAATATCGAATTTCGGAAATTTTTATAATTCTACGATCTATTGTCATAGAAAAATTTATTTCACAATTCAATTCGATTAGGAGTGTAGAAGTGTAGAAATACTTTGAATTCGATTTTAAAAAGTTGTGATAATCCTTACTATTTAATATTGATATAAAATTTCTTATGAATGCTATTTGAAATCACAGTGTTACCACCCTAGAAAAACAATTTTATTCACTATATTAATTTTAGAGTTCAACATATTAAGTATTACACTGAAATCATATCGTTATCCGTCTAGCAAACTATTATTCTGAACCCTGTAGAATTAGAATTTCATTCATATAGAGAGGAGAATGAATACTATACGATTGATCTCTTCGATAAAAATCTCTAAATTTCTTTGCTAATTAATGTCTATGATGATATCTTTTTTTTCAATAACTTTCAATCAGTTAAAATTATTGAGCTTAAGACTTTCTCAATCAAAAGATGAGTAATCTGCATAATGATTATCTACAGAGTACTGTAAATGTTACTATCGACAATCTTTTATTATGAATAATTCCAATTTATATGAATATACAGACTGAAAAATGTTGTGTTAGTAGTACAATATTTATATATTTCTAATATCCACTCAAATTTGTATCTCAAGGTATATTAGTTTAAACACTTGACAATTATTGAAGCTGATTTTTGTTATAAGTTCAGATAAGATTACAATGAAAACAAATATCTGTTTCGTTTTTCATACATGTAGACCATCCAGATATTGATTTACCTAATAGTAAAAATCATAGCTCTTCATATTGGTTCTAACAAAAGTTATTCACTATTTAAGACTATCAGATGACTTTATAACTATCCTGCACTTAGTATTCATTAAATTCAAAGATGTTTTTCATAATTGTTCTTACACGAATATTGTTTTCTTTATCTATTTTAATGATAAAATAATCTCACATTACATTAAATCGTAACGTGAATCATCTTATTATAGAATAGTATCTTTATATAATTTTCATGATTTTATTTTTTGAACAAGATCATTTTAAAATGCAATAATCTTACCTCATGTATACAAAGATAATTCAGGCTACAATTTCATGTAAGTTGTAATTACATTGTTATGAAATTTATGAAAATAGGTCGCGTAAAACACAGTGGTGGAAAATATCCTTGAATCTAATGAGTGTTATATAGTGATCTATACAAACATAACACGATGATGTTTTTTTTTACAATTTTTTTAAATTTTTCTTAGCAACTAATGCATTTAGAAATTTTATTGATTCATCAAAAGATACGTTTCTATACTTTTTTCAATCCTCAAAACTCTAATCCGATTTGATTAACTTATTTGAAAATTATATTATAAAGCTATAACAAATAGAAGACAAAGATTGAAAGTAATGTATTTTGAGAATATATTTCGTATAAGATAAAATGATCTATATTAGACATATATGCCGCAATGCAAAAGTATCCGTATAAATGACTGAAGCTATTGCACAGGAACGGTAAATCGTAAAAACTGAATTAACATCTTGTTCCATAGAGCAAAATGACCTCTTTCGAACGACATATGACTCTTTTGTTCATAATCTCAAATGAAGCGAACACAACGAGAACACGAAAACCTTCCAAAATCGATTGTAATTTTTCATATTAATGACTCAAAATATGTTGTGAAAAACACGGTTTTTCACTTTGTAAAACAAAAAATTCCACGTCAAACAATCTACGACATATTTAAAAAATATAAGCAACATGGAGCAACAAAATTTTTACCAAAATCTGGTCGGCCATCAAAAATTTCTCACAAGCAAGTGAGAGTACTGGTCAAACGCGTTAATAACAAAGCCCATATTAGTCAACGTCGACTTGGACGACGATTTAGGGTCCATCAATCGACAATTTCACGTATTAGCAACAACTGAAAAACAATCAAAATATATAAAAGAAAATCGGCTCCAAAATATACAAATAATGATCACGAACGACGAACTCAGTCAAATTGTCTGAAGCTCTACAACATTTTGGAACCTAATGTCCAACTCATTTTGGATGATGAAAAATATTCCACTTTAGATGGAAACTCATCTAGTAATCGTTATTACTATGCAACTGATCCAAAAAGGTGTGGGTGGGTATGTGTGGGGGTGGGGGTATGATTGTAGGTGTGGGTGGATGGGAGCGTGGGTATGGCTGGATGTGGATGTTGCAAGAAGAAACAAGATCAACATCCATACCCACGCCCCACACACACACCCCACACCCACATCCCACACCCACACCCCACACCCACACCCCACACCCTCAAGATAAAAACCGTTGTAATGAAAATAATTTTATCGTGCTTTATATTTAAATTGTATAGAAATTAAATTTCAGAGTTTATTCTATTTCTAGGTAGTAATAATTTTCGTTCGGATGTTGAAGCAATGCTTGGTTCAAAAAATTGGGGTGTACGATTTTATTTCATATTTCAAATATGTTGGTCATTTATAACACCATTAGTTATTATTGTATGAAATAAAAAAAACAAACATCAATTTTATTCTTTCTTAATGTTTTTTTTTTATTTGAAATATAAAGGGATTGATTGTATTTACATCATTAAATTATCCACCACTTGAAGTAGGAAATTATACATATCCTCTTTGGGCAAATAATCTTGGTTGGGCTTTAATGGGTTTAATTTTATCTGGATTTGTACTTTATGCAATATATGCTATTATTTATTTTGTAATTATAAAAAAAAATGTAAGAAAATAGAAATTAAAAAAGAAATAATTTAAGTTTTTATTTTTATTTTTATCAAATTTTAGTCATGTAGAATTTTAATTAATCCACAACCAGATTGGGGACCTTTATTAGAACAAAATCGAAAGAAAGTTAATTATCATTATGGTGAACATGATGGATATCTTGTTAGATTATTTGATAAATTCAAAAAAAATACTTTATCAAAACAAAAATTAGATGGATCAAACGTAAGAATTAATTTTTTTCAAATCTCTGCAAAAGACTTTCATATTATATAAACAGAATATTCTATGTGTATATCTATATCTAACAATTATGATCATTATTGAATGATAATGATCGGTAAAAATATAATTGGCTTTATCAGTTTTTCTTTCATGTCCCTCTTATTACTATTTTTAATAGTAAATATTTAAATATGAATGATTATTTTAGAGTATTGACGTTGATAATAATGGAGAAGAAACAACAGTATCAAATCAACAAGCAAGAAATCAAGTCGAAATTGAATTTACTATCCGATTATAATCGACAACAATATATTGGTTATTGTGTATAAACATATTTTAAAAAAAATTTTTTTTCTAAATTCATATATGTGTAGTTGAATATTAGAGAAGCAAAAATATAAATAAAATCATATCGGTATCATGTAAGAACATCTTAATTATTTAAGATCGGTTGAAATTTTCAGTAATAAGTGTCATTTTGTATATGTAACATAATCTAATTCATCTGCTCGATAATTCATAACACTTCATTGTTCAAGATATCGACCAAGTACTGGGTTTTTAGAATTCTAATAACTCACGAAGGGTGTGGGTGTGGGTGGGGTGTGTGTTGGTGCGGGTGTGAGTATCGATGTGAATCTTCAGTTCACCCACACCCAAACCAACATCAACCACACCCACAGCCACATCCACCCACACCCACACCCACACCCACACCCATACCCATACCCACACCCTCGCAATAATGGGAAAATGCGTTTTGAAAACGCGTTTTATTCGCAGAAATTTACGCCATGGGTGACACTTACTGAAAATCATACAAAAAGTTGTTCTTTTAGTTGTTATTTTGATATTGTTGTTTTATATAATATTCAAAAAATTAATTAGAAACAATCTTTTTGAGTAAAACCGAAATAGTTGGTTCTATTTGGTAATTGAAAATTCTCCCTATTTATCATTGAAATTTTGAGTGTAGATAGTATACATGCAAGTGTCTCTGCAGGTTGCATATGTAAATAAACGATAGTAATGTCAAAAAAATCACAAAAACTGAGTAATTCTTGTGTTTTTTTGTTACGAATAATATACTGCTATAGATTCGTATTTACTTCATTGTATGCACGTTAGAAAGCATTAATTTTTCATATATTTCTTCTTATTTCAGTCAAATCAATTAATCGAATCCCTCTAGGGAAATCCTGAATGTTTCTGATCCAGATCCTCCTAGGATTCGACATTTTTTCCTAAGGAAATGATGAAATCTGGGATAAAGCGTATAGCAATAGAATTTCAAGATCTTACCAGGATTGAGAACAGAAGTACAAGATATTTCATTAATGAGACATACGTCTATATTAAAAAAATAAAGAACACATCTTTTAGATTGCAAAACTTTTTTCAAAATATAATTGTGTATATTTATAAACAAATAGGTCCAAATTGAGGATATGCTGTTGAACATTGCATATTATAACAACAATCTTTGTTCTTTTTACAAGGTAGTGCATGTCCACTACAGGGACATATGAATACACGTCCACTTGGTATCGCTGGTTGAACACAACATTCAGATGATGATAACGCTGTTTCATTACTTAATCGACAACATGTTTTCGAGTATTTTCCACATATTTGTCCAGGACAACAAATATCAGTAGAGTTATTGCATGATTCAAGCGGTTGTCTACATGGTCTTTTCATACACTTTTCATCACAACAGATTCCACTACAACATTGTTTTGAAGACGTACAAGTTGATGTATCTCTTAGACAACTAGCTTCTAATGGAAGCTTCTCTGGTCGACATTCGACAACAATGGATAATAAAATAGTCGAACTAATAACAAATAATTTCAACATTTTTAAACAATTTTAATCTAATACATAAAAAGAATACAAAACTCAGTTTTTATTCTAATATACAAATAAAAATTACCTTTAAGAATATATCTGTGTATTGTATATCGATCATTTTCATTTATCTTATATAGTTTTCATTAATTAAAGACATGACCATATTATAAACATCGTTTCTTTTATTCGTTCTTATCTATTTTAAGATTCACCTTGAGATTTTTTTCTCCGATGAATATTAATCATTTCATAATTATCGTAGAGACGATCAAAAAATCTATCATGACGATTGTGTTAGGCATAAGCGTGTGAATAAATCAAATGACGTCAGCTGTACACATTGCGTCTTTTCTTATTTATTTGACATTGATATTTCGTGATCATCAAGAAGGTTTTTTGTCATGATTTTTTTCAGAAATAAATTCTTAAATTGTGAATCGTTTATTTCGTTTAGAGCAAAGATTTTTGTTTGGATCCATTGGATTTATTGTCTGTTTAATGCACATATTAATCATCATCATTCAGGATTTAAATTAAAGTTTTCTTTTTATCAACAAATATCGGTTCGTTTTAGAGACAATATTCATGAAAATTATCTTTTAACAAGAAAATATCTCCTATTATTTTGGAAAAATATTAATCGACATTTTTGAATAAGTGTTTTACATTCTATTATTAATAAGTACTCTTAAAAACAAATTGTGATTGTTAATCGAATTTCATTAATTAGATGCAGCATATTTATTTGCACTGAATCAATATCGATAATACAAGTGTTCTATTCAAAAATGTCAAAGATAAAAAATAATACTTAGGTCTGACCGAAAGTTGCCATATTGTTAAAAAATAGTATAAAGATTTGGAGATATTTTTAATTTTATTTTATCATATGTTGAGGATAGTTGTCATTATTAGCTATACCAAGTTCAATTCTTTCTAACAGTTGGTTAGAAGTTTTTTGAAGGCTTTTTCGAAAAAATTTTTAGTTACCTTGGATCCCGAATGACCATATCATATTCCATTTCTTTTAAAAACTTAGAGAAACTTTGCTCGATCATGTCACTTGCGTTCTGGCATTACTATTGATGGGATATGGA